TTCACCAAATGTATTTATTACGGCACCAAAACCACCGCAACAAACCAGAAAGTGATGCCCACATAAAGGACAAGGGGACTGACTAAATACATGGAAAGAAAACAAGGGGTTTCTTTTGAAGAACAAGAATTGCTTGAACAATTATTGTCAAGCAACGAAGATCCTTACCATCCCACTTTTTATGATTCATTTGAAGTATTTACTATATATTTTCTGTCAGTGTCATTGAATTTCTGGCCCTGGGGTCTCTGGATCTTACACTTGGCATGGCGGCATGTTTGCAGATTGATTTGCTGCGCCTTCGAGGGAACCGAGACACTTGCCAGACCAACCAACCTACCAACCAACCGAGAAAAGGAGAGAAAACGCAGAAATCAATTGTGTACCTGTGTGTATGCATTGGCCGAGAAGCATTTAGTGAGCAATCAAAGGGGGTGGGGGCGAATGAGGCCATATAGCCTATCCACGCCATCGGCAATAGTCCTGAGACTAGGCAGGAAAAAATTTATTTCCACTGCCCCTGCAGCTGAATTATTTTATTTAAACCGACGAATTCAATTAGAGACAGTGACTTGGTTTTTGCGCCTCCAGTTGGATGAGCGAAGATTAAGAGACCAGGGGTGCCCAGGGGTGATCCGCCAAAAGGGAGGTGGGGGAGGAGCCAAATCATTGAATTTGCGTTGGCGCTGAGGGCGAGCCAAAACAAAAAAAAACGAAATAATAATAAAGGTTCGGGTGCGGCCCGAACTTCTCTTCACGCAACTTTTTGGCACAGAAAGAAATGGCTTAAATTTCACAAAATATACATTTTATTTAATGAATATTTCAACAAATTAAGATACGAATTATTCCTTTAAATAGGTTTACAATACCTCATAATTCATATATGTTTTTTTCTTTAAAATCTTAAATCTTTCATTCTGAAGCAGACCTCTAAAAACTCCCCTTTCCATGACAAGTGCCTCAGTCACTGACTTTATTTTGTTAGTTCCTTTAATTTGATTTAATTATATGCGCAAGTTTATTTGGGGGCGTGGACCATTTCTTCGGCTGTGCCCACTTTTCTCGTCATTTTTTTGTGGGGCTGCCACAATATTTCCACCTCCCAAAATGTGACGTATTTTGGGTTCGGTGCTTGCCTGAAAAATCACCGCTTTCGACTCACATTGTGTGTGATGATCGTTTTGCTATTGTTGCCTGCTCTGATCTTTAGGAGTGGCTTGTTAAATTTCACTTGCATGTCGGCCCAGGCTGTTCCCCCAGCCTGCTGCCTCCATTTTATCCCCCTCGATTCCACTCCTTCCCCTTTCTTTTCGAAAATCAAGGTGTTGGGCGTCGATTTATGCGCTTTTCACTTGTCCCGCGTTGGCGAGATTTTTGGGCTCAGGAGGCGGAGTTCAGACTTTAAGAAAAGTTCAAAATCTGGCAAGAGTTAGATCAATATCATGGATGAAAAATTGCTGGGAAGTGGAAGTCTTAGAATCTATATGGGGCAAAACAGTGGGCCTGGGAAAATACATAATTTTAGGCAATAAATTGGAAAGAAATGGGAAAGGGCTGAAAAGTCAACATTAATGCCATTTTACATTCAATTGTAAAACGCAATTAAATTTACAAACCTGGGCTTTAGTCTCCCTGGATCTGGGTCGAAAAATAGGGCATATGCCATCCGATTCTTAAAGGGCAGGATTTATTATTTTCAGACACTTTTTAGGCAATATCTCAGCCGTACTACATCCGGTTTTAAAAAGGAGTATCAATTTTAAGTCGGGATTTTAATGAGCTTTGGTCTACCTCAAAATACCATAAAAATTGAGAAGTTACATTTTTTTTTTATTTTTGGCCAAAATCATGATGTTACCCCTATGAAAAATAGCGAAAATGGGGTCAAATTTTAGTTGGCCAGGTTTTGATGCAGAATTATTCTACTACAAGATCTAAGACCGGGAAGGTATAACATTTATCAATAGGATAATTATTTTATGGAGTTATGGATATTTACCTGAAAAAAATCCATCCGGATAACCTTGTGGACCAAGCTAAGAACAGGGTGGCCAAAATCGTTACTTTTCAGACACTCTCTAGCACATATTTCAGTAATTTTTAATCGGATTTAGAAAAGGATTACCATTAACTAATCAGGGAACTCATTGCCTTTATTCTGCTTCAAAACATCACAAAAATCGAGAATTAAAATTTTTCGTCGTATTTTGGCCGAAATCATGATGTTACCCTTTGAAAAATTGGTTCAGATTTTAGTTGATCAGGTTTTGATGTAGAACTATACTTCTCAAAGATCTAAGATCGGGAAGATATAACAAACATCAATGGGATGGATATTGGCAAAGTTATGGCTATTACCCTGTTACAGAATAGTGGCCAAAATGGACATTTTTGAGAAACTTTTTATCCAATATATTTTCATATATTAATATTGATAGATATTTTTTCAGAATTACAAAAGAAAAATTAGAAAGAAATTAGAAAGAATAAGAAAGAAATTAAATGGCGAAAAATTGGGTCCGATTTTAATTAGTCAGGTTTTGATGGGAAATAATAGCATCGCCGATGGGTCATTAACCGCGTTATAGACACTGAATGATGGCATATTCTACTTTTAACATAGCATATCCAACTATCTTTTATGGGTAATATATAAACTTTTGTGGGTATAACTTAAAATGCTATACAGTTTTCAATGAAATAACAATTTTAAAAAATTATCTAACTCATTGGCAGCGGAGACAAATGACTTTGGGTTATTTGTCAACAATTGAACATATTAAACTGGGTGCAGTGAAAACTATGCCAATTAGATCTTATCGGCGGACATTTCCCAACTACAAAAAAATAAATAGACAACAAAAAATAGTAATAAAACAAAAGTTGAACAACGCTTTTGACATTTCGCTGCTGTTGCTGAAGATCAACACGATTCCCAAACAGCAGCCCGGAATGATTTATCACCGGCTCAGAGCAATCAACATACAAAACCATAACAGATCATGCACCAGCAGAAAGAAACAAATCCAAAAATACCAGAAAAGGCCACTAAACCGCATAACTGTCTGGTGTTTGAAACAAAATCTGAGAAAACCAAACCGAAAACCGAAACCGACACAAAAAAAAAACCATACAACCAATCGCACAAACGACGACGACAGGTGATTAATTGTTTCAAACGCGTAGACGTTACTTAACGCTCCGTCAGTCAGTCATTCAGTCGGTAAGTTTGGGGCTACAGGTTCAACCTCAACTCCAGTCCGTAATGTCAAAATCTCCTCCGATTGTGAGCTACCCATATATGGCCATATATATGTGTATTTTGCGGCCAAGTGTCGGGGCGAGTGCGAGAACAAAACAAGTTGCATGTCTCAATGAATGAATAGCCGAATAGTTTGAATCACCCAGGCACCTGAAATTCGAAACAAAACAAAAAGCCAAATGCTCGTAACTCGTGAGCAATGACAGCAGTTGAAGTCATGTTTTTGATGATTTTTTTTAGCGATGAGGAAGAGTGAGTTCTAATAAGGAGGACTAAGTACTAAGGAATTAACTCGATTAAGGAATTAGGATTTTATTTTGTATGATAAGGATTGTATGAATAAGGTAGTCTTTAGATTTTTTGCAAAAGTTTAATTCTCGTTTAAATGTCATTTGTAAATGGAAGGAACCCCTATCGTGTCACGCACCCATCTTTAATCCCTCCGAGTTCCATTTTGGCGTGCGGCGTGCGTCGTGGCTCACCCAAACTCAAGCTCAAAAGTCGACAAAAAACAAAAAAAAACAGAGTATCTACGAACTTGTGCTTTGTGGCAGTGTCTGGCCATATGATCCACTGATTGCTTGATTATTATTTTGATTAATTAGCCAAGATTTGGCTAGTTCAAACTGCACGGCCCACGCCCGGAGCCTGAAATCTAGCCATTGTGTGGCGACTGGCTCTCAGGTTGATACTTGTGTATTCTATGATTGATTGAAGTTTTCTTTGATAACAGCTTACAATTGAGAAATTATTTACATGAGCTATAATTAAACTTGTTTGTTGTTGCCTGTCATTTGGATTTGGATTGCCGACTCGTAGTCCGGACTCCGGAGATGGAGACGGAGTCTGGTTTATTGAACCGCAATTGAACCACATCAGCCATCAGCCATCAACCGGGTTAGAGGAAAAAAAAGTGCCGGTGGATTGTGTGGGTTATGGGGCCGCTGGCAAGTGATGTTACCTCTATAAATAATCAGGAAATTGCTTTAGGGCCTGTCAGATGCTGTGAGTTGATTAGCCCGGCCATATAGTGTGTGTTTAGTGAATGAGTTTGCAAATGCGCAAAATTGGAAATGAGGAAAGCAGCTCTTAGTGAATATTGGGCTTGGTCTAGTCTAAGGCCAACCGATCTGGTCTATATCATGCTATATCCCCAAATTCCATCACAGTTAGCCACAATTTCGATTGTAAATGTGTCAACCAACTGGCCTTTTGGTCTCATCCCCAAAATCGTTTGAAAGTCACGATCCATTAGAAAGCTGATCTTAATGCGGGCACCCCCTTTCAAAAAATAAAAAAAACCAAAAATAAAACTCGCAATCGATCGACGGATGCGTGCCACTGCCACTGATTTAATTCGGAAAGCGAATGAGACACGACTCTGGCCAAGCATTTATTTGTCCAGCATTGAGGCCTTTAAAACGAAAAAGAAGAAATACCCAAAGCTGGAGCTAAATCGGGGGTCTTCACTTGCCAAACCAAGGGGCTTTCGATCGGGCAGGCGGAACATGCAAAGTGACAGTGGCGACGACGGAGACAATTCCATATTTGGCCAAATTCAAATGCCATTAACACGTACGCCATTTGTCGGACTCAGAGAAGAGGATGAGCGAGAGGGGTGACAATAAACTGATAAAAATATATATTTAATATAAATATAATAAGGGCAATTAGTGGAGAAAGTATGGGAAAAAAATTAAATAAAGTATTTTAAAAATTAAATCAAGTTCGTTGCCTAAGTCTTTTGTTTCACTCCTTCCAACTCGACAGAAATATTTATTCCTGTGTATAATCCAACCTGGGGTTCATTTGTCCACCGTTTCCGCATTGGATTCGTGTCGAATGCCGGCCAGCACGCATTTCCCCTCTCTCACTCATTGCCAAAAAGCGTTCGACATTTAACACTTGTAAATTTCTTTCCCCGGGCGACTTGAACTTTTCTGGCGGCGTTTCGTGTTTGTTCCGCAAAATGGAGCCTGGACTCTTCGGACAGTGGGCCTTCGATTGGGGGATTGCATGGTAACCTGTCGTGATTCTTATTTTAATTTGCTTTGACTTGTGCGCCTTTTTCGGGAGGCCTCGCGGCGATTTGCTGACTTCTTGCCATTGCCTCTGACTTTCCTTCGCCGACAGTTATTAGGCCTAAATGCAGAAGCGTTGCGCCGATGTTCGGCTCATTAGCAGCTGGCCAAAAAGGTCTGAGCGTTGGCTTTAATCGTGAACCGTTTGCTGATTTAGTCTAATGGTCAGGAAGCTTTGGGGCTTCTACAAGAAACCTATCTAAGGTTCTGTCTTGGTTTTGCTTTAGTAATTCTATAGAATACATTTCAAACTCCAATCCAGAGCTAATTATAATATAATTAAGCAATTTAAACACGTAAAACTTCATACCCAGGTACAGGCCTTTAAATATCAAGCCCAGAACATCTATTTAGGTTATTTGACAGACCATACTATAACTTAACTCAAAGTTGGCCAAATTCAAAACATAAATTTGAAAACTTATCTATGCCAGCGGATCGTGAGCTTGTTTCTTTCGTGGTGTTTCAATGTTTTCGGGGCTCGAGGTTCGCAGTTCCCGGTTTGCAGTTCGCAGTTCGCAGCTTGGAGCTGACTACATCTGACAAGTGTTAATTGAATTCATGTCGCTGGTAATCATAATAATAATAACAATATCATGTTGTGCTCGGATCCCTCTCGAGTCTCGGATCTGTGGCTCGAGCGCCCCAAGACAAGCGCTTGCCGAGCTTTTGATGTCGGCTCTCGATGTCTTTCCGTCTATCCGCCCGGACTGTCTCAGTGTCTTTCTGTCTGGTTGTCTGGTTGCCCGGCATCGTTATAAATTACTCAATTAATGTCAGCGTTTATGTCAGCGCTGCGCCATATAGCCGATCTGAACCGATCCGTGCCGATCCTGGCGAAAAGTCTGGCACCCCCCTTTCGGGTGCCCCTCCGGCCAAGTAGATAGGCGCATGCAGATAGTACACATAGATATGACATGATAATGGGGCATGTTTAGTGGCTGTCGTCGGTTTAATTAAAAACGGCTTTATGCATAAAAACAAAAAAGGAACAGGCATTGAGCCACGGCACTTGGCTGACAAGTTGCGCAACTTGACACTTTGCAAAGAGGGCGAAATGAGCGAACGGGCTGTTCCCGAGCCCTTTGCGGCAAGTTCGTTGCCTAAGTCTTTTGTTTCGCTCCTCGCACTCGACACAAAAAACGTGCAAAATATGATTTTTTTAGGAAGTTTTTTATTTTATGTATTATTTTTCATAGCTGGCATCTTATATATATTTTTTTTCTTGATCTTAGGTTTTGTTCGCAACTACTGCTGCTGAAAGCAAAATGTCAATTTTGTGACTGGATGGCTTTTGTCTTTTTTGACGCCCTCTCAATGGCGACGACGGCGGCGGGTTGAACACCCACGCCCTCACCTCCTTTTTAATGGTACTTTACATAAAAAAAACCCTGCATTCCAAATACCCTTCTAAGACCAATACCCTGATACCTTTCTATAAAATGAGACACTTTCCTCTTTAGTGGAGGTTTTTGGCTTGTCTGCCTGTCCTTAAAAAATATAAATATTCAGAACTTTTTTTAATTATTATTTTATTATTTATTTATTATTTTATTGTACCTGAATTTTTGATTTAATTTTATATAAAATTTATAAGCTTTAAAGAGCATTTGCTTGTTCGACTGCTACCATATAAATAGCTCGCCAGCCATTGGAAACTAATATGCGGCACGGGCACAATTAAATCTTTTGCCTATCGCCTTTGGTGTGTTGTAATAAGATAAATCCGATTTCAGTTGTCTACGGCAAGTGAGCAGAACAACAGGTTGCTCTGCAATCGAATGTGCGGGTTGAACGCCCAACCGAGAAGTCCAAAGCCGAGGCGCTAAAAGAACAATGTGTCATAGCCATATTCGTGGTATTTAAAAGAACTTTGTTTATGCATCATATATGTATCACTATGAATATATGTATATATCTTTTTTTTCAAGCACTTAGCGCGCTGACAAGTTGAAGCTTTGCGTGGAACGTGGTCAGGTTGAGTTCGGATCTCGGCGAGGTGCCTCATGGGGTTTGCAGACACATTTAAGTTTTGATATGTGCTGTCTGTCGCCTGATGACGGATTTCTTTTCAGAGTGGCTTTTTGTTTCTTATTTTTTTCAGAGTCACCCGGTGTGGGTGGCCCACACATATGGCGAAAACCAGAGCTTGGTGCAATTGTTTGGCCGCCGGCGCCTCAGTTCCATATCCCAGTTCAAATTCGAGCCGGAGTCCACCACTTTGGGTTTGCGTATTAAATTTTTAAATTGCTTTTTTCTCGCTGCGGTGGTTAGATTAAGCTTATTTCCGTATTGAAGTTTAAGTTTGCTTTGCGGTTTGAATTAATTAGCCGCCGCGAAACAAAGTTTCTCTCGGCCTGTTCTTTTGCATTTTGTATTTATTACTTCAAAGCTCCGAGTTTATGATTCTGTGTGCGGTCGAATCGGTTGGTAACGCCAACGCACTCAAATTTGAATTTCATATCTCTAACCGAAACTGATTCTGAATCCAAATCCCAGCGAGACAATGGTAATTATTAATAATGCAAATAATTATATCGATTCCATTTCAGGGGCGTTGTCTGCATGTGATTTGTTGAAAAGGTTCTCTTTGATATTATTATTATATTTTTTGTTGTCGAATTCGGTTCGCTTTGATCGCCTGGCAGTGTGGGAAAAAAAGTTCTCATTTGGCTTTTGCCACTTGATGATTTTTTCCTCAGTTCTGTTTCGGTTCTTTATTTTTTTGTGTCTCATGGCTAATTTGCCTTAGCTGCATTTTGGTTTCCTTTTGATTAATTTGACGTCGACGAGTGCACGGCATCGGATTTATGACTTGGTCAAGACTTATTTTCGGTCAGTTCTGTTGAAGTGTTGCGAGAATATACGTGAGTGTATAATGTGTCTGGCATGAGTTATGGACCAGCCATATTGTCTTGCTTTTGGCTAATCATGGCTGTCTGGACGCCTAGAACTTGGAAATGGGTCCAAAACACCACAGCTCTTTGAATAAAATATAATACTACATTATCTTAAAAGTGTAGGTCCTTATAATCTGAAATGACAGTCATTCTCTCAACGTTATTTAAGCTCCTTAACCTTTTTCGCTTTCGAACTGCCTATTATTTCATCCGCCCAGCTATTGCCCAACATGGCTAATCTGAGCCTGAGCTAAAATCGATTGCCCAGAGCCCCAGTGACTTGGCTTAAACGTTTTGTTGGCAGCATTTAAAAAACACCACGATTAGATCTTAATACAGAAAATGGCGTTTACTCAACACACGATCAGCAGCGGCTCGGGCTGGGAACAATCATAATTAAATATTAATTTACACTCGTCGCGTTAAGCAAACAACACGTACAGCTTAGCGACCGTAAAAACAACACTAAACTACAACAACAGTACTACCTATACTTATAGCCGATAAAATACAAAAACAATGAATTTTTTTTGTGTTTGTATGTACAGCTGGGCTGTTTGGCGCGGCGCCTGATAATAATATTCCATAATTTGTTTCATGTGCCGATCGAAATTATTAAATATTAATTTTCAACGAGTGGGGGGCGCCAAAACGTGTCTTGAATTCCTGAATTTAAATATTAATAATATTTTCTGAAAATCAATTTGATAGGAAAAATGCATTTAAAAATGCATTTTGAGCGATCGAAGATTAATTAAACTGCCACGCTGAGGAAGTTTTCAGATTATGGCCGGGCCCAGAAAATGGTTTTAGAAAAAGAACAGGGCGTGCTGCCACTGCCGGCCAACATCGAAAACTTGGCCTCAACCAAATGCCAATTAAGCCTGCACTGCACGTAGCCACAATAAATGAAATTCGAGCAAGCTGAATAACCATTTTCGGTTGTGTTTTTCCGCTTTATTTTCGGCCTTTGATTTTTCCATTCTGTCGTATTTCGGCGGCCCATAAATTAGCGCTCTAAACGATTGCCTGGCACTTGTCACCAGGCCCCCGTCTAATTTAACCTTTGACCAAATGCCGCTACCATGTGCGTTGCCCCAAAGGGGGCGTGGTCCGTTTGTGCCGCTTAAAAAGCAGCAACAACAGCAGCACCAGCAGCACGCGCACACCAAATCAAAGTCAAAGTTCCAGGGGGCGGCCACCGGTAAGGTGGCGGGGGGTGGACCCCAGGGGTGGGGCGTTGAATCAGACTGTCCCGGGTTCTATCCAGTTAGCTGGCTGTCTGGCAAATGCAATATGACTTTCAAGTGGCGGGTCTCTGGCGTGGTTTCCTAATAGACGAAAAGCTACCGCTTGGCCAGGTCGAAATCGGAAGCATATTTCAGGTAAACGACGTGGGAAATGCCCTTAACAAATACAAGATAATTTTTATAAATTTAATAAATAAGTAAATAAATTAGAAAATATAGAATACTAAGTATAAATTATAAGATCATAACTGAAAGAGTGCCTTTAGTTGTTTTTACAATAAAGGTAGTTGCTTAGATCATTTTCAAAGAAATAAAATGCATATTCATGGATATAGAAGTATAAAAATATTCTTGCTATAACCATTGAAATATTCGAACTCCCCTATTTGTTAGAGTATAAAATCTTATAAACAAAAAGTAAACTGGAAGTTGTAGAGCGTTAAAAACTGCGTGGACGGCATTTAAAATAATGCGAGTGAGTTGAGCAGAGTTTTAGATACGGGGGCTTATTGAGGGGTAAATGGGGTCCTCAGCTCCAGTTGGCTTTAGCCTCAGACATATGTATATAAAGTAAGGTGCGGCTGGGCTGCAGTGCGGAAAAACGGCAAAGTCGCAGCGTTAACTGGAAAACGCGTTTAATTGAACTCTGAGGTAAATGCACAGAAAAAACTATTTACACATGAAACAGGAACTAAATTAATATTTTTTTTGGAAAGCATAATCTTTTTACTATATAAAAATATATTTATCAATATAAATTTTAAGTTTAAAATACAAGTAAAATTCCAAATAAAAATATCTTCTTTTCCTGTGTGCCTTTTGGCTGCCCACTAGCGCCATCTAGCTGCGTGCGGCTGCACTAAGAGCCGGCTGCAAGTTGCTGTTGTTGCTTTTGTTGCAACTTGATTTTGTGAGGCAGACCCGAAAACAAAAATCGATGATTCATCGCCGGGTTTGTTGTTTTGAGTGGATTTCGCCAACTGCAATAGGCCCCACAATAATACTAGACGTTTGTCGTATATTTTTTGTAGTTTTTGTTGTTGGCGCTTGCCGCCTGCTGTTGCCGCTAATGTTGTTGCTATTGCTGATGTTGCTAGTTGCAAGTTGCTGGCTGGTGGCTGGTGACGCAGTTGCAGTTGCAGTTGCAGCTGTGCCAATTCTCCTCCAGTTTGCCGTTTGCATTTCGGCGCTTTACGTTCAAAACAATTATTATTCTGGCAATTAATTTTGATTTAAGCAGCGATTTTCAATACATTTTTTATACATATAAACAGTCTTATATATATATTTGGATTTCCTAGGTTTTTTTTTATTGTCCATGAGGTAAAAACCCCCCGCCAAGTAAGTCTTTGAATGTCTCGATCTGTGGATTATTATTGCAGCTATAAATAAGCGACACCTACGATGCTTTTGTTTAAGATTGCATCTTCAAGATTGGGATTTGATTGGATTAGAGATGATTTTTTAGGTTGTTATGGTAAACAAATATATTTTTTAATCATTTTATTAATTTAAAAGGAATGAAAATCGCATACCTTGAAAGTGATACCTTCCCAATAATTTTCATAATTTGTTATTTGAATGTTTGTTTATTTATTTAAAAAAATTATAATTAAATGCAAGTAATTTAGTGGCTACCTTCACCATATTTACATGCTTAAATCATAAGGTTAAACTAAAAATAAATTAAGATACTCAAATTATAAGTAGTACTTGCTAGTGGGTTTATTCTCGGCACCATTTCGATTTGTACACTCTTCAGTTTCAACAACAGCCTAACTATAATACAAAGTTCTTTCAACGAAAACAATCTGCAACAATGGACCCTAATACTAGAAACTTTGATATGATGATTAATAATTTAGAATCTAAATTTTAGTTAATAATTTAGAGAGATTATTGTTTAATAAGTTAATGTGATAATCTAGAGACCCTAAGAGGCAATATAATTGCCCTGACTAATTTTTGGCACTGACTGATTCCCTCGTTCTGACTTTGGCTTCTATGACTCTAGTTTGTAAATGGCCTGGGGGTTGTGGTGGGGGTAGTCCCCTGTGTCCTCCTCCTCCCCGTTGCTGCTCCCCACACTGCCGGTGTAGTACATTTGGTGGCCGTTGCCACCAGCGGCGTCCTCGTATCCCTGCAGATGCTGCTGCAACTGCTGCTGGTCGAAGCCGTTGGTGGCAGGATTGCCATTCGCCTCGTTCTGGCAGCCGCTCTGCAAGTGCTTGGCCAGCAAGGACATGCGCGAAAAGGACTTGGTGCAGGTGGGGCAGGAATACTTCTTGACATCCGAGTGGGTTTGCATGTGAGCCCGCAGATTGGAGCGATCGGCAAAGGCACGATTGCAATGCTGGCAGCTGAAGGGTTTCTCGCCCGTGTGGGTGCGAATGTGTCCTTGCAGGAGCCACGGCCGGGAGAAGGCCTTGCCGCAGATGGGGCACTTGCAGGGCAGGGTGTGGGTGCGAATGTGCATCTTGAGGGCGCCCAAGGACACATAGGTCTTGTCGCAGTTCTTGCAACTGAACACCTTCTTCACCTGGTTACCCTCGGCGGCCGGACAGTGGAACTGCTGATGCTTGGAGAGTCCTGAGTAGGTGGAATAGCTCTTCCCACAGTCCTGGCAGTGGTACCGCGGCACACCCACCGGCTTCTGCATGCTCTGGGCAGAGGCCACATTGGCAGCCTGGATCAAGGCTGAAGCCTGGTCTGTGCAGAACTCCGTTTGATCCACAATGGGGGCCGATCCTCCGGGCTGACTCCTGATGATCTTGTACTCCGTGCTCTCGTAGGCATGGCTCTGCTGATGCTTCACCAGGCCGGCATATGTGGCATAGCATTTGTTGCACTGCTGGCACTGGTAGTACAAGTCGTTGCTGCTCTTGATTTTCAACTGGTTGAGGTCCTGGTTCTCCTGATCCTCGTGCTCCATGTCCTGGGCACTGGGGGGCATTTGGGGTTGCATGTTTTGCATACTCAGTAGAGCCCTGGCCACATTCTGTATGTTCATGTTCTCGCTCAGGACTCGCCTTTGGGTCACGGAGAGATCTTCGGGCTCGGCGACAGAAGGGGGTGGGGTGTAGTATATATTTTGTGGCACTGGAGGCACTTCCTCTTTGATCGAAGGCATTTTCATGCAGTCCTCGTACTCCGCAATGCTTTTCAGGAGGTTGTTGTTGTAGTTCCGCAACGGATAGTTCTCCTGATCGTGTTCCGGCTCTGGCTCTTGCTCGGCTTCCGGCTCCATCACCTCTTCCTCGGGCGGTAGCTCGAACTCTCCATAACCCAAGCGCGCCAAGCTCTTGGCGATTTCCTCGCGTGTGAAAACATCCGGAAAAGCTCGAGCTATTTCCCGGGTCTCCTCCCATATGCGACGGGCGAGTTGCTCTTTGGTTTGGTTCATGGCAGCATCGAATCGCTTCCGCAAGGCGGCGGGAACGTGTTGCGCCTCCGGATTCTCCTTTACGGACCAATGCGACTCCTGCTCCGGCCTCACAGACCAATGCGGCTCGAAGGGAACCGCTGCCGAAGCCACACTTAAGTCCACAGGACCTTCATCTGTTTGAAGAAAATTGTAATTAGTTTTTGGATCATTTTGGGAAGTGTGATTTTTAAAACCCACCATGACTGAGATTATCCTCCTGATAGGACTCCTCCTTCAACATTATCGGACGCTTTTTGAGCGGACAACGGCTGTACTTGAGTTTATCCATTATGTCTTGATATTATCCTTAAGAACACCGATCACCGATCACTGATCACTAGTTTGTACTTCTTGTATTTAATACCGTTTTCTAAAAGTAAATCACTGCTCATTGGCGTCTCGATCGCCTGGAGTTCCTCGTTCGAATGATGCAACCCGGCTAGAATCTCTACGATTTTATAGACTCCCGATCAACCCCCTGGCTTCGGCTGAGGCAGGATCAGGATCTGCAACCCCCTTTGGCAAAAGGATCTTGGCATTTACCTACTTCCGATGTCGCCACCGGGGATTCTGTAAATTCAACCCCGAATCCACACGAGCCACAGATCCCACAGCTGCACATACAGCTGCTGATCGGCGAGAAAGAGACGGTGTCACCAGACAGAAAGAGAAGGGATGAAGCGGCACCGTCAACAAATCTGTGTGTAAAAAGCCAGCACGTGCCATAGGCCTCTCTTTTCCCAGTGAGCGATCGCCACCAGCTGCCTCTCCGGTCTGCCTTCATATATATTCCATATTTCCCCTGATTTTTCATGGTGTCAGTGAGAGCGGCAGCTGGTGGCAAGCTTATTATATAGAAGAGTATATAGACGGGCAACTGGCATAGCAAGTTTATTTATAAACCTCTTTCGGGTCCGCCTTGTGCGATCACCTTTATGTATGGAAGTTCTCTTTTAATTTTCTTGGGGAGCAGGTGAGCTTCTTACCCGCTCTTTGGAGCTCAGTTAAGAGAGGAGCTTTGCTCGAGAGACTCCATCTCTTGGTTTGGGGGGCTCTCTTGTTTCAGGTCTCAGTCGTTTCTCCGTTTCTGGGAGACTTAAGAGTCTTTTTGGCGGCCTGGTGTCTTAAGAGGATCGTTTTGAGATCGTTTTGCTTAAGCAGCTTATGGCCCAAATAATCCTAGACTTGGCTCAAACGATCGGCTTTTCCACTAGATGAGTCTTTAGGAAATTTGTTTTCATGTAAGGATTTTCCAGATAGTTGCATTTTTTCAATTGTTTTGTAAGCTTTCAAAAGGAATAAGTATCAAAAGTCTTTAGTAAGTCTTATAGATGGTTTGGGAAACACATCTTTTTGAAGATTAAAAAAAAATAGGTTTAAATTAAAAAAATTTATATATGATTGACAAGATTCCTCTCATATTGTAAAAAATATCCTATAAGCTTTCCTATTGATTTTTTCGGATAGGGATTCTTTAAAAAGGGCAGCTGGTAAAATATCAGCACGTGACATGCATTTCCATTAAATCGAAATACCTCCTGCCTGTTAAACACAATGCATCCCACTCAGATGTCCACAGAAATATTAATCAACGGAACAAATAACGCCGAGATCTAAGGTAAATCAACCTTTACCCGTACCCGGACCATTGTTCCGGTTATCGTCCCTCGCAACCCACCGTATACCTATGTATTTCAGTATATTTTTAGGTGCACTCGGCAAAAATAAACCCCTAACGGCCGTGAAATTGAAGGATATCGCCATCTGGCGAGATCAGAAACTGAGATCCACTTCCACCCCAAAATGGGCATGTGCCCCGGTAGTTACCTGGCTTTTGCATTCTTCTATTTATTATTTTTCCCCTCGAGGCCGAGTGCCTTGGAATGCGCCAAAATAGGAGGAGAGTGGTACGTGCAAATCTACCTGGCGGAGACTGGTCCCACCCCGAAAAGGAATCCACAGCCTCACCAGACAACCTTCGCCTCACCAGGATCATAACACAAAAGTGGTGGTGGTGGCAATGCTGGTGGTGGCTTGAAAATGCAGTTTTCGACGTTACTTTCAGTGCCAACCCCTCGAATGTCTAGAAGAAATCTTTAAGAATAAACCCCCCCGTTCATGGTTCTTTTATTCTTGCATCTGCCGACTATGACACGTACCAACAAGGAACTGATTTCGTCCTTGTTTGGCGCCAAAAAATCCTGTAACAACCGGTGTGCTCACCTGGGTGAAACCTATTTTCGTGATACGTGATCTCTGTGACGTTAACAATAAGAAATGGTAATTGATTTTGTGCCCAAAAGTGCATTTGAATTTTTAATTAACTGCCGAAGAATTTATGAAGCCTTTAATGAATGGATTTTTGAATGACGAGGACCTTAGATCATTATAAGTTGTTTGTTTTGATTAATGAAACATGTTAATGGAAATATGACTTGCAGAAAGTAAAATGGATATTAAATTTACACAGCCGTAGGAATTAATCTTAAGGATATAGAGGTCTAGTCTAGGAGCTTTAAACTTGATCCTTTATTTTGAAATCTTTATAGAACCCTGATTATTCTGTCAACTTGTACCATTTTCCCTAGAAACTAACACATAACTTTCTTTACATCAATCAATTGCCATTCAAACTATGAGTTCAACTCCATTCCACTTTGCCAGGCCTAATAAGACTTCCCCCCGGCCCAGGCAACAATGTGTGGTGTCATCAAACCCTCGGTGGGGCAAAGCTAACTGCACATCACCTGGCAGGTAAACCGCAAACGTTAACTGTCCCACACAGGCCCCACAGTGCTCCACAGCTGAGTGCCTCACTTCAAAGTGTCAAACGGCCGCACAGAGTCGCATAATGAAGTGCAAAATGTCATTAATTTGCCGCCGTCAAGGTGGCATTTGCTGCAGAGTATCTGAGTTTCTAGTAGTATCTGTTGGATGCAGCTGCACTCGGCTTGGCTTGGCTACTCCGGACAAAAGAAAGTCGGGCGACGGCGTTAGGAAAAAGTATGCAGAAATCCAAAACGAATCCGATCCAGGCCGATCCGCTGTCCAAGCCACACGCCGTCGCCGCTGCCGACGCCGACTTTTGTCTCACATTGTCACGAGTTGAAGGTTTTTCAAGCCACTGAGCAGACAATGGATAATGGATATAGTTGGGATGGGTTATACGTTTTGTTGGGGGAGAAATACAGGAGGGAAAAAATGCGCCATGTCGACCAGACCGAGCTGCAATCAAAACAAGATCTTAGAACTATTGGCGCCTGATACCGACGATGTTCCAGAGCTCCATCTCCGAGCTCCAAGCTCCAGCTCCAGGTCAGTGAGCATAAGCGCCGCTTTTGATATCCGATATTATTATCTGGCCTGCGTCGGACTGGTAACGGTAATTATAATCGAATAAAAGCAGACAAACAGCCAGTATCTGTATCTCAAAATGTATCTAAAGTTGGAGCTTCCGACGCCGCATAAATTAATCGGTAGACTAGAAGCTACGACTATAATTCAAACTAATTTGTTTTATTGACAGCGTGTGCGCTTTCGGTTCTTTCATAGAGATGGAAAAAAATAGAAAAAACCCAGAGACCCACCACACACAAATTGGTCAATTATAGAGGGTCTAATATTCAACCGCAACTCTAAGGCGTGTTTCATTAGTCGAAGTGACAATAAATTAAGTTTCGACTACTAATTAAAATGCGCTCTGACCACTCTTGAGATATTAATCTGCTGGGAAGCTTAGTGGCCACAGACCTTAGTATCGTTGGGAGACCACCCGCCTGGCATTGGGGCACCGAAAAGATAGATCGATTCATTGATCGGAAGCTTTGGCGCTCTCATCTTTACAAATAATCACAAGTTTATTTTTCTTTGTTGGCTTGTGATTTTATTTTCATAAATGAATCACGATAATAAATTGTTTATGTTTCTTTCCATTCGCGGTGACTCGAATCATGGGAGCTTCATGGGAAAAAGAGATTAACATCAGCGTTTATGTTAATGCAATGTTGAGACATCATAAAAATGAAATATTTGCCGCTATCCACCACAAAAAAAAAAAAAAACCAAAGCGTTTGTCCAGCTCTGAATCACTTGCAAATATATTTGCATATTCTTAAATCTTCAGATAATTTTTGCTTATCAAAGGCAAACATCCTTGACGAGCAATCAGAAGTTCAAGTTCGTCTTTCGGTTTAATGCCCTCCAGTAATTCCAAAATAAAAATCATACATTTTTACATTTTTATAGATTTATTAAAAAAATTCAACAACTAGCTCGACAACAGCTCTCTACAGAAGACCCTCATTGCGGACTTTTTTCTTTTCCGTTTCTTCGTCTTCCTGAAATAAAGAAAAATTCCATTATTATTAATTCAAAGACCACACCTAGGATATTGACTAAAAATAACCCCCTATGAGGACTAATCAATTAGGTGATATTGAGTGCCTATAACTGGCAGTAACTATTCAATTAAGGAGTGCAAATGTTCCCATGACCGAAGCAATTTACACTTGCAGGAACGTGAGAACACCCTTCACCCTCCTGCAGGGCGGAGGCGGTCAGGTCCATGGTCCGAGTCCTGCATCCTGTATCCCTGCAGGATTCAAGTCAATAAATAACTTACCCACGCTAGCTGGTATACGGGTTCCGGTTGGATTTCAAAACTTGGCAGCAACTGGTCTAGGGGATGATCCTTTCTGGCTGGAATTATTTGTTATTGGAATCACGTGACAAGTTGCAGGCCATGGTGATGGGGAGGGTCGCCTCGCTCGCGGTGGTAGTGGGAACACGAAACTGAAATCATCCCACGGGATTCAATTTATGCGTGTTTGAATGTTTTTGATTGCGCACTGCTAATTCGAATAAAAGCCATCGGCTCCTGTACTCACCCCGTAGATGTCCTGTCCGTTTTCAGGCATTGTTTTTGCAGGGAACCGACGAGCCGGATACTGTGCCGCCTATGATGGGTCCCGAAGCGGTCATGTACTTTAGAATTTCGTGTACATACTTAGAATTTCGTTTACAATAAATTTCGTTTACAATAGCCCTTTTAAATTATTTCAGTTTTTTCTTATTTATTTTTTTTTTTAGATTTTTAATTTTTAAATTTTTTTAGTACTTTATTTTTATAATTTTTTTTGAATTTTTATAAATTTTAATATTTTTTTTTGTTTTTAGTTTTATAATTTTTTTTTTCGGTTTTTCTTTTTTATTATTTTTTTCAATTTTTTTTTTTTTTATTAAATTCAAAGTTTGATCTCCCAACTGTTTTGAGGTCGAATGATTTTTTATAAATTTTAATATTTTTTTTTTGGTTTTAGGTTTTTTTATTTATTTTTTTTCGGTCTTTCATTTTATTATTTTTTTTCAATTTTTTTATTAAATTCAACGTTTGATCTCCCAACTGTTTTGAGGCCGAATGACTTTTTATAACTTTTAATATTTTTTTTTATTTTTAGTTTTATAATTTTTTTTGGTTTTTCATTTTATTATTTTTTTTAATTTTTTTTTTTATTTATAAGTTTTATAATTTTTTTCGGTTTTTCATTTTATTATTTTTTTTTTTTTTTTTTTTTTATTAAATTCCACATTTGAACTCCTAACTGGCTCGAGGACGAATGACTGTTTTTCAGGTTGAAGGCGGGTAGGTCGAGTTGACATTCAAAACCAAAGCCTACTTGTTCACCAAAAACAATGCTGGCCCTTGGGATTCTTGATTAAATAAAATGAGTTCTCTAGGGATTGGACTACTCCGTTTTTTCTACGCCAAAAAAAAAAAACCTAAAAAAAACTGAAAACAGAAGCAAATGTCAAGCTAATTATTACAAATGATTTTCGATTTATATTTTATGCTAATTTTGGGCAGAAGCATATTCAAGCTGTCAGCATTGTATTTACATAAATTTGAGCTATGAAAATGTTTGAAATTATTGCATCTCAACCGCTCATCCCTCCATGCACCTGAACCGAGCCTATCTGCCCAAACACTGTCCAAAAAGTGGGTCTATAAATACTGTCGCCTGGGAGGGGGTAGCCATATAATTGATTTATGGCCAATGGATTGCCGCACGCCCAAAAATCTCTCTGTTTTGAGTTGAGGGGTCGTCGTGGTAGCTACTAAATTTAGACACGGCTAAAACAACTAATTTAGGAGGACTCGGCAGCGTGTTCTTCAGTTTTGTCACGTTCATGGGCAAATGTTTTGCATGATCATTGGGGAAATGGGGGAATGGGAACTCTGGATAGGGATCCCCCTCGAGAACGTGTCCGTTTGTTTGTTTTTTCCGAGGGAGTGAAGCCTCTGTCGCAGCCACTGTCACAATTGACACTGACAATGCGGCAGGTACACGATCCCATCTCATTTCATCTCTGGAGTCTTTGGATCTCATGCCCATTCCCAGTCCCTGTCCCATTCTGATTTCGATTCCCCCGTGAGGTACCTCAGGGCTATCTATTCCGGAGACGTGCCGTTAAGTTGTCAGTGGGTGGGACACTTCGATCTCCATGTCGTCTATGGTCTCCATGTCTCCACAGCTCCATCTCCATCTCCATCTCCAGTTGCAGTTCCAGAGCAGGCACAGCGAAAGATTAATTGAACGTGCGCCAGCGAGTTATTAATCTTCCCGAGCTTAGGCGGAACAAGGAGGCACTGAAAAAAATATCGAAAGCCAAAGGATCAAATAGGAAAGTAACCAAGCACTATTTCCCATTCTAATCTGTTGGTATTCTCTCTTGATTTTATCTTTAATTTGTTACCTTTCAACTTTTTTTCCTCAGTGTATTCTTATCTATTGTTTCTAAAATATTGTATGCACTTCTTGGCGCTGCGGTGTCAGCTAATGGGACCCGCCACTTGAGCCTTGATTATCCCTCGTTCTCATATGCAGCTGCCGATCTGTGGGCCGCTTTTCCTCTCAGTTTTTTATATATTGTATCTTATAAACTTATTTTTTGTCGGGTGCCCCTAATTTGTTTATGACTCTGATAATGCAATTTTTTACTTGCAACGATCGGGGGCAGCAATAACATAAATATATTCACTGATCTGCTGGGAGCAATTACCGGGTGAGCCATATTTTGTCACTTTTTTTCTGGGGCTCCGGCCTGAGACTTTTGGGTGAAAGTTGAGGCATTTTTATGGCAGAAAATAATTTGAAACTCTCAGATTGTGGAGGATTGCCGAATTGGTATTTCATGAGATTGGGTGTCACCCAGTCATACCTGCCTGGGCCTGGGATCACCATTACACAAATCAAACAATGGCCAGTCATAGACTTTGAGGTCCCCCAACCCCAAAAAAAATAAAATAAATAATAGACTGAGTGTATTGCGTAGCGATGAGCACATGCCACAGAACTTGCCCCATAAAACTGCGCAGCTGCTTCGCAATTTTTGGTACCGGGATTTCACAGGGCAACGCAATCCTGTCCCAACCCCCTTTGGAATTCAAGGGAAAGGACCAGCTCTGATATCCGAAGACTGAAATACTCTTGAGGAGTTTTTTAATAAAAGGCTCTAATTTAATAGCTAAGGTTTAGTAAATCAAGGCTTTAAGAGTATACTGGAAATTATAATTTACCTGTTATTCAATATACCCTTTAATGAAAGAGCATCAAAACCTCTCTGGCTGGCAACTAAAAAGTTCGGAATAGACGCCATGGAAGGTTCTGAAATTGTAGCACCTTGAGTCGCAATCAGTGAGACAACTGTGGAGAAGATATACTTCAATCACCACCGTGCTTAGAACCGGAATATCAAGAGGGGAAGTTTTCGATTTCCGTGGAAGAGAACACCTGGATGCGAAACGGCGGGCTCTAAGGTGCAAGTTTTCACTGTTTTGACGCACCGGTGTCTGCCACAGAAAATCAAATCTTCAAGAGGGTGAGTGATACACAGACAGAAAACCAGGGCATGTATAACCCTCTCTCATATGTCTGCTTATCAATAACTATTAAACCTATTAATACTTTTTTTTTGTGTAGTTCGTTCATGTGTCATGGACAAACAAACGAATCTATATCGGGCTCGACTTCCTTTGGCAAATGCCTATGCAAATAACCCGGAATAGAAACGATCGGAACGAACACTTGCGTCATCCTCAGTGCGTAAACACTGAATTAGATTGGATCCGATCGGATCGGAAGGTTAAGGGTATCCACTGAGGAAGGGTTGCCAAAGGAAGTGCACACCTTGCTCCATTAGCATAAAATTAACCTCGATGACGACTTTGGACTCGGAAGCCTGAGTTTCCCACAGTGCTGGGGACTTGTTTATTAACATGTGACAATTATGCTTAATGCAAGCCAGGGTCTATCTTGATTACCATTAACCCCTAACCATTAACCCTACCCTTGTTATGATTTTCACTTTTCCGATTGTGATCCCGAACCGGATGCGCTTCTTAAAAGAGTGTGCATGTGTGTTTCTGTGAATGCAATCAAGGATCAAGGGCAACTAGCAAGGAGTGCTAAGAATATGCAAATTTTATTTTGCCACCGACCGTGTAAATTACACTGAGACATGCCACAGTGCGGATAACACCTGGGCAACGGAAGGAAGAAGATGTTTTCGAAATTGTATAAAAAAGGGGAAGCGGATATCTCAGTATTGCCTGGATGTTCCCACAGTACTTAGAATTGAATGTTCTGGGGGGACAAGGTATTTACATTAGTTTATTGGCTCCCTTTTTTTATGAAAAACTATATCTTCCCCCTTAGTCAGCTCTGCTTTTCAAGCCCTTGTTTAGAATAGAATATGTTGCCTTTCCTTTTATCCATAATTTAGGCCAGAAAAATTATCCGTAAAGGGCTAGGAAGATGGTTTTACGAGCATCTATGGTTTCTGGAAAGTCCCAGGAAGGTGAGTTGCTGGACGGACCCACGCCACGTCACTCACTGCTATCCGGCAGATACAAGCAGAGCTTTGCATATCTGAGCCTGAGGACACGGATGCCGGGGATAATGCAACAAATAATAATTCGAATCAAGGCACAATCCCAACAACTAGTAGAACAATTTGGAGAGGATGTGCTAAACGATGTTAGGCACATTGTGGATGGCGTGGATCGTCTAAAGAACGAATTAAATCGGGATCGTCAGTTCATTCTTTTCCATGGCAACGAGCCGGACAAGGCCGAGTGGAATGCCTTTCTCACAGAATTGCCACGCCCTAAAAGGAACTTCTTTCGGGCCTGTTGGCTGCACGCCGAGTGCTACCTGTACCGTCGCCTCTACTCCTTTTTCGAGAACAGTCGCTATTTGAATGGCTACGACCCGTTCGAACACCTGAAAATGGATGACCTGACGCTCAGCAAGAATGCGATGAAGTCCTTGGCCAGAGCCACCCGCGGACTGGACAAGAGCTTCGATAACTTCAGCAACCTCCTGCGCATCGTTCTCTGGAGCAATCACTTTGAGAGGGCCCTGGGGGCCTATGCGTTTTCGGAGGAGGAAAGCCAAAATGACATCAATGTCCTGGCGCAGGTGGCCGACATGGACCGGAATCTCCTGGTGGATGACTCTAGTACGATATGGAGTTGCCTGAACAGAAAGCGCCCCGGTTCATCGGAAGTCATTGTCGACTTCATTTGTGACAATGGGGGCTTTGAGTTCTTTACCGATATGTTGTTTTTGGAATACATCATTGAGAGCCAACTGGCCACCCAAGTGCGCTTGCATGTCAAGGCCATTCCCTGGTATATATCCGATCTTATGAAAAAGGACATTGACTGGACAATCAAATACCTTATCCAGCAGAAGGACGATATCCTCTCCAGCGTTGGCAGTAGATGGTTGTATCTTATGAAGACAGAAAAGATCATTGTAGCTCCCGAGTCGCATTTCTGGACAGGACCACAGCCCTACTTTGTGATGGTGGAGTTGGACCTGGAATTATATAAATTACTCACCGGAGGTAGGCTAGTAATCTTCAAGGGGGACCTAAACTACCGAAAGCTGCTGGGGGACTTCATTTGGGATTCGGCCGAGGAGTTCATCACCTGCCTGCGAGGCTTTCGACCTACAAATATCGCCGCCATTCGCACCGTTAAGTGCGAGGTGGTTTGTGGCCTTCCCGAGGGCATGTCCGATAATCTTCTGCGCTCGGATCCTATGTGGATGATATCCAGCAACTACGGTCTCATCCAGTATACGGACTCCCTGAAGTGTGCCTGTGGTTTGGTGTCCGGAATGACCTGCAACATGACCAACAAAGAACCACCGGAACTAACCGGACGACCCAGTTTCGGCAGGAGGACCACTTTGAAGGAGCATATGTTATCCACAGCAACTGGTGGACCCAAATAAAAGACTCAATCTATGAAGCCGCCGGCGTAGAAAACGCCTTGCCAAACAAATCGATGCGAATTTTTTTTGTAGCGAAAATCTGGCTACCACCATCAGCCTCGTTACTCCCACCTTGGATTTCAGTTAACGGCCGCCACCTGCCTTGGCCATAAAAACACCTGAGGATCGGACTTGGTTGGCCAATGGATGGGTCGCGCAAGCGCAACAATTTGTCAGGACACTAATTTCCAATTGAAGAGGGAAAGTCGGCGAATGATAAACAAAAGTATTAAAAATGCTTTGCCCGGAAGCTACTTTTGGATTGGAAAAATTGTTAAAATCAAGTATGTGCTGATTAAATTGATTGTTTCTGTGTGTAAGATTTTTAATGGATTTTTTTTTATTAGTAGATAAAAATTTAAGGAGGGTTTGGTTCTTCTATAAAATTTTATAGCTTTTTTAAAATAGCCAGACTTTTCCCAGGCTTATTTTCATAACCTTTGCACTTCATTGGTTATAAATAAAAAAACCTTATCAGAAGAATAACATTTGATCTGATATCAAGCAGTGCCTTCTCATAAATTTTGCAACTAACTTGGAAGATGAATTTCCTTTCTTTGGAAATTTCTCAAATAAATGAAATAATTTTACCCGCTTGCCCAGTAACCTTCCAAATGACCAAATCCAGCAAAGTCAGCCATCTAGAAATATTAAAAAATCCAAAAAGAACAATCTCACAGAAATTAAAAGGAAGCCAAACTTATTGAAAAGAGCAACATGAGGTCGCTTAAAATTCCAATACAGTTTTGGCATGTGATCAGGTACAGTACCCGAAAAATCGCCGACAATTAATCAGCATAGCATAACAGTGTTTGGGAACTCGACTGATTTATTTTCCCACCAAAAATAAATAAAAGCCACCCTGGATGCGGACGGGATTTATTGCGCAGCTGCAGGACACAACTTTGTTGTTTTTGTTGGTTCGGAAGGGAGCAACAGCCTGCCACCGCTGGGTGGCACGACGAGGTGACGGGGTGGATTGTTATGCAGGAGTTGCTTTCATGTTGGCTTTGTCCTTGAAGGTACCCGGTATTTAGCGTTCAATGTAGTGTAGTGTTCGGTGTTTGGTTTGGTGCCCATTGACTCAGTACCCGACACCAGGTTGCTGGCAACGCCTCTCCAGAGCCGGTGCTTTTGTCTCACTTGGCTTTCCGTATCCGGGGGTTGCAAACTTTTCCCACCATTTTGCCGGCAGATTATAGCCTGCCTGTAGCCGGGCTGTGATTTCCACCCCGTCCACCCATCCACCGAGCAGATGGATAGTGCGCAGGTATGCGTCACCGAACCAGCTGCCCGTGGGCATGTGGACGGATCCGGCCGGAAAGCTTCTGTCACACTCAATTAAACCCCGTAATCTACAGGCGAATGCAATTCGCGGTAAAATTCAAGATTTTTTTGTACAGTTTTCAAAAAGTTTTAGGGATTTTTCAGGCGTTTTTGGGATGTGATTATTTTAAAACCCAAAACCCAATCACAAAAACCCCCAGTATTTCTCCAAGCCACTTCACTGGAACTTGGAATATTATGTTATACTCCCTAGTGCCTAGCAACTGATATTTGTATAGTATGTAACTTTTAAGCTTATCAATCATTACCCTCCAATAACACTTGCTATTAGTATTTGCTAAAGCAGTGCTGTAATTTTTGTAAGCCCATCGAGTGAGTCACACCACTATTAAGTTATACTCGAACTATAGAGCAAATGTTTGCCCAAGTGGAAGTGGTTTGTCGGCCGATTTACGGGTCACTCAATGGCGTTCATTTTGCGGGCTAGTTTATGGGGCGAGTGATAAGCAGGAAATGCTCGTATACCAACCGATCGAGCCACCACCGAACAAAACCACCCGTTCAGCCATTAGCAGGAGCCACCTGAATTATGGGCAAATTAAATTGAACTCAATTCGAGTGCTGCAATTATCTTCGAGGGGGTGGGAGAAAGAGGCGGCTTAAAAACAGTTGACATAAACCTTTCGCCAGAAGTAGCAGCAACAGCGGGAGCAGCAGTACAAGCTCCTCGAAAAAAAGCCAAAATGCCGCCAAAGGCGCTGACAAGTGGCCAGGAGGCTGTGCGGCAAAAAGGTCAACATTTCGTAATCTGCTTAGTGGCTTTTGTATGCACGTAACCATAACCATGCCCCATGTCATCCTATATATTTCACAGGCACCGCACGGGTGGGGGCCCCAGACTGTCAACCCGCCAGCGTTGCAGCGTTGCAAGATTGTGGTACAGCATTCGCCAACTGACCAAGTGGTCTTTCCTTTACACACACACACAACACCAACAAAAAAAAATGGGGAAAAAACCAAAAATAGAAAAAACTAGCGACTATCACCCGCTAACATTCAAATTCAAATTTGCTTAGGCCCACCGACAAAAATTAGCCACAGACTTGGGCGCTAATCTGGTTTTAAACTGAGTTTCAACGCGAGTCTCTGTCCTGTCTGCTGCCGCGATGCGGGTGTGTTCCATGCCACATAAAGTTGCAACTCTTTTTCAGTGATGCCAAGTAAGAGAATTCAACAAATATAAAATATTTTATGATTTTTATACAGTTATTTGACCAATTAGTAATAAAAAATTAATTTGAAATAAGAAACTATTATTTAAGTTGGCTATTATCTAGCTAAGCCGTGTCCCTCCTGCCACATCTGTCTCTGACTTGGCCAGTTTTTGGCCTTTTGCCTTGCCTCATGTCCAGCAACCAGTTTATGGACAAGGTGTGCGGGGTTGAGGCGTGGGGTGTGGCATAGAGAGTGTGTGGGGCACCCGCACCTGGCCAACTGCCCAACTTACGACTGGCGGCGAGTGCAACTGCTGCCCAGCTGCCAGACGTTTCTATCCAGACCCAGCCCTACCCCATACCCTGCCCCTCCCACGCCCCTCGACCCATCATTCCCGATCAGGATAACCTGCCCAGGGCGTCTAGTCGAGCGAGATCCCATTTATTGGCTTTTAAATGGTTTACAATACGTTGGGTGCTGAAAGAACTTAGGATAAAGTGCGAACCAAAAGTAATATTTTTGGAGAAAAATAGCCTAGAGCTTTAGCACCTGAATGGCTAAAATATAAATTATATTTTTAAAACAAAAAAAGAGCTTAGAATATGGAGAATATATTGAAAGGAACAAAACTTATATAAATAAAGAGCCCACAGAAAGTGATGCTGCTTCTGTTTAGCATAGAAAATATTCCCATCTGATTTCATTCCTCCTAACAAAAACCATACCAATGTAGCCTGAAGTCTAAAATTCAATTGATTTTTGTTTAGTTTCTTACCCATTTAAATGTAAATAGGCCAGAATGCATTTGTTGGTTTATTAATTCTGTTATGGCTGCTTTTGATTAGAACCCAAGTGCAGTGTGTGCAATTTCCCCATAAGATTTCTACGAGCAGAGGTGAGTATTAATGGTTATTGGCAGGGCCGTAGCTAGCATGGGGCAGGTGGGGCGGTGCCCCAGGGCCCCCGAAGGGAAGGGGCCCCGCCGGGGCAAAAGACTTCCGTATAGGGGGCCCCAAATTTACTTGTTGCCCCAGGGCCCCCGAGGCTCTAGCTACGGCCCTGGTTATTGGTCTGGAGACATGGAGATATGAATATATGGGTTTATGAGGAAACTAACATAAAGACAATAAAGTTAAGAGAGTGAACAAATTTAGGTTTATTGCCATATTAAATTACCACACCTCATGGGTGTGAAACCTCTAGTTAATTCTTGGCGACACTTTTGACTCAAGATTGATGGTCCAAAGGAAACGCCTTTCCATTTTCAATGGCCAGAAAAAACAGGTTGCCAATCGCCCGTTTTTTGGGCATTCACAATTCACAATTATAGAAATAAAAACCCCACCGAAAAAAACAAATAAAATTTAAAAAAACACAAATACAAGTGGCCATAGTGCGCTGTAATTCGTCTACTCAACGCCAGAGTGTGATTTGCTGATTAGCAACACTCTTTCCGTCATATTCTGAAACCCAATTACAACGCCACTGACAAGACACACGGCCAAACAGTTGCCACTTGGGACTCCGACTCCGTCTGGACTTGGCCAAAAGAGCTAGCCAAAAGTCTGGCCACGTGAACACCCTTATGCAAAAACAAATCAAAATAGCATAAAAAGTCGTAAATCTGTGCCAAAACCCCACCAAAAAAAATAAAGGAACGAGCTTAGAGCATGTGCCAAAGCCAAAGGAAAAGCCAAAAAATCACTAACCAAAAAAAAATAAATGAAAATAAAATAAAACTCTAGCCAAAGACACTTGGCCACTCGAGACGGCGGCGGCTGCTGTGATAAAATATGAGACAGTGGGGCAGACAGTCAACTGTTTTGGCTATTTTTTTTTTTCCTTGGCCAGCAATGATTCAGTGGAAAAGCAGGCAGAGACATTCATATAACTTGGCCAACAGACGCCACCTAGCGGACGAGCGGGGAAACCAACCTGTCAGCCCAAGATACAAAATTCCGATTAGAGATGTGAAGTGTTGAATTAATAGTTGAAATATTTAGTGATATTTTCAAGCAATTATTTAAAATTATGACCCAAGATTAATCTGAATTATAAATAATTTATTAAGTGGTTGAAATTTATATATAATTTATTTATAAAATCTTCGTTTATCTAATAGTTAATTAAAATTAAAACCCGTGTCACGTTCACGTCTCGACTTATAGCTCTCTCCTGATGCTGAGTGGGTTCCTTTTTTGCAAATGTCATGCATTTGTTGCTATTTCCAATATTTATTTATTTGCCAGCCAGTGCGCCGATGCATTAGAGGCAATAAAATAAATAAAAATTGAAATTGACTACGTCAGAAAATTTTGGCATTCATAATGCATGAGTTTTGATTTCTTGGCGACGTTGCCGCCGGGCCGGGCTCTTAATAAATAAGAAAAATAAAAATTTCAGTGCGAAAAATCACTTAACTTTTGCATTGAATGTGGATAGCAGGATTTATGTTAACTACTCGACTTGTTATAATTGGTATATTAAATGATTTAACAGTTTGGCAGTGCTTGCAGCCCAAAACAGAAATCAATTGGCATCGCCAAAGAGAGAGGGTGTAGCCTGGGATTTTCGGGGACTTGGGACTTTGGTTGTAAAATGGGACTTGGATACAGTCTCTGCACATTCGACTGTAAACTGGCTTAATATTATTTATGAGCCTTGTGCCCGGCCATATCACGTAATAATCACGCACATAAATGGCCAGTTAAATGCCGGCCAGACCTCTCGGGCCAGTTGCATTTCATATTTCATCTCGAGTGATATTTGCAAAACATGGCCGAGAGTGGGCCAAATAAAAAATTAAGTAATAGATTTT